CCCCCCACCTAGCCCCACTAAAACACAGGTGGAGTCTTCCTGCTGCACATACACACCCATGCCCCATCCCAAACCCTGCAGGGCCTCACAGCTACTACAAAATCCCGGATTTGGCCCTGGATCCTGCCAAGTTTTGGCCTTGAGATCCCAAATTCTTACAGAACAAGCCCAGCTATTCCCACCACACCCAGTGCTCTGCATCCTGGGCCATTCACCCTGTGAACACCGAGATCTGATGGATCAAATTGCTCCCCAGATTCCTTAGCATGATGCGGAAGGGACATAACAGCCATTGCACCAGTCACTCAGAGCATGTGCCATTCCCAAGCCATGCCATAGTGGCCTCAGTGGCCATGTGCAGTTCCTGTGGTCCGCCACTCCACTGTCAGTGGGCAGTCATCTACAGTATGCAACATGGTGTGTGTTTTGTCACAGCTACAGTCTGCATTGTTGCAAAGACTCCAACGGTAATTGCAACAACAGCTCTGGACTCTGGTGCCACCAAAATCTGGATCCAGCCCTTGAACTTTGGCACATTTTGGTCCAAAACACTAGACTGCACCTTCTCAGTAGAAAACAAGAGTAAACACCACTAGAAAGGGGTTCAGTAGAAAGACTCTTGCAACCCCATGAAAACTGGTCCCGATGTCACTGGAAAATATATCTGGCTCCTGCAAGCTCATGCCAATTTTAAACCCTGCTCCCCAAAATCCTTCTGTTTAAATACACCAAAATATCCAAACTGAAGCAGCAGCATTGCATGCACCCAGCCAGAGAGGTTGTGGAATCTCCATCCTTGGAGTTTTAAAGATGGGGGTAGACAAAGCCTTGACTGGGGTGATCAAGTTAGGGATAGTCCTCCTGAGCTGGGGGCTGAACTAGATCAGTGTTTCTCAACCCAAGGGTCATGACCCAAAAGTGGGTCACAAGAATATATACCAGGGTCATGACCAAACTTTAAAAATGGATCAACAAATGTTAAAACTTATTCTCCTTTAAAGGAGAAAAACATGGGAAACGCGGGCCCCTCCCATTCCCCACACAACCCCTCCCTCTGCCCCATACACCCACCCCCTACTCCATCCACTGGGGGGCTGAGGCCTGGGGCAGCCAGTCAGGAGTGAGGGTCTCTGGGTTGGGACTGACCATTGATGTCTACAAATATGTCCTGGTACAAAAAAGGTTGAGAATTACTGGACTAGATGACCTCCAGAGATCCCGTCCAACTCTGATTTTCTACGACTCGGATGGATCCAGACTTTTAAAAAAAATATTGTTCTAATGAGATGTTTGAATGCTCGATGTTCTACCAACCCACCAAAGAACAGCAGCCAACACAACTGAATAATCCAGATTCCAGTATGTCCCCAGAATCTGGACCCTGCAGAATTGTACCAGTTTTGGCCCCAAGTCCCCAAACTGTAGCATCAAAGCGGGTCGAATCCATCCAAAAATAACCAGGCCTGGAGCATGAATAAGTCACGCTAACCCACAGAAATGGAAACTAGATCTTGCTCTATTTTGGCAGTGCATCTCTAAGGCCAATGGCAGAAACAAACAAGTTCAGACAAAATCTAAGCCCTGATCCATCCCAGCACAAGAAAACCTGCATGCACCTGGATCCAAAAGGATTCCTCCCCCCACCCCTTTTCACCCATTTCTCCCGGTACAGCTGTCATTTGTAAACAGAGATCCAGGTCCACTAGGAGTACTGCTGGGAAAGGATGGACCAGGGATCCCATTCTGATAGTGGACCAAAAGCTGGGAGTAAAATTCTGTCCCTAAAAACAAACAGTGACAAGCTGTCAACCTCCATGTTTTTTCTAGATTAGGGGTGGGCAAAATGCAGCCCACGGGCAGGATGCGGCCTGCCAGGCCATTTTATCCGGCTTGCGGGGCCCCTAAAAAATGTAGAAAATTAATATTTAGCTGCCCCTGGCTGCCTGTCATGTGGCCCTTGATGGCTTGCCAAAACTCAGTAAGTGGCCCTCTGCCCGAAATAATTGCCCACCCCTGTTCTAGATATTTGTGGCCACAGGGACCCAGGTGCTACACATAGGGGTTTCAACTGCCTTTTCAGTGGGATGCTGGAAGCTGGGATTTTTGGGTCAAGGAAGAGCAGCGACACATACTGTCCATTGCCACAGTACATTGGTGGCATGAGGCCAGATGGGGCAGAAGGCAGGTGCTGCTTGTTGAGCAGAGGTGCAATCAGGGAGTGGAACTTGAGCTGCTTTGCTGGGCAGCTTTACAGTATTTCCGTGCAGGGATGCAACAATAGCAGCAGCTTTGTTGTATCCAAGCTCCTGGGACATTTTTGTGTATATGGTTATATGCTGGGTCACCTCCCATTAGGGTCTGGTTTGTGGAAGCCCCCTCTCCCAGACAGTACAATTTGTGGGACAAATTTGCAAGGAACCAAATGTGTACCACCCTCCCCTCCTCACCCATGCTACTGAGTCAGAATGCCCCAGGAGCCCCATCTTGTTCTCCTCAAGGGAAACAGCAGAGGCTCCATTTGTTTTCTATTCAGATTAGTCAGGCAGGCCCAACCCGCTCAGGATCCAGATGGATTCAGGTGCAGGGAGGGGTGTTGCAGTTGCTGTTAGGGCTGTCCAGGTTTTCAGCCACTGGGTCCACGGGAATCCGAACTAGACCAGTGCTAAGGGGCTGTATTTAACCCCCAACAGCCTGGACCTCGGGACCAAAAGTCGCGTGGAGGAGCTGGGGCTCTGGACATGCTCTCGGGACCAGACGTGGAAGGGGCTAGAGCAGGGGCAGAGGCTGCGCACGGAGGAGCAAATGGCTGGGATCTCCAGGCGCCAGAGTTTGGGGCTGAAGAGCAAAGACAGGGTGGAAGGGGCCTCGGATCTGGTGCAGGCGCAGCTCCGGCCGGGGCGGGATCCAGGTGCCTCCAGCTTTTACCTTTTTCCAGGAGGGAGCGGCGCTCCCGGCTTCCTCCCTCCCGGGCAAACCTCCCAACCCTCCCCGGCCGCTTCCTCCGGACAAAGCATCTCGCCTGCGCCGGGCGACACGCACGCCCCCCGCCGGCCCCGGCGCTGAGACCGAGCCCCGCCCCGCCCCGCCCCGGGGAGAGGAGCTCGGGCGGACACGCCGCTTGCACCTCGTGCAGCCCGCGCCTGTCCGCTCCCTCCTTCCCGCTTTCTCTGCAGCCCCGCGAGACCCAAGCCGCGGCCGCTCGGGGTGGAGGCCCCGGGAAAGGAAGCGGCGCTTCCTGCAGCTCCGCGCTGCACCGCCGGCGGGACGCCGCTCTCCCCTCACGCGCCAGGGTTGTGCACTGGCTGCGCCTAGTCCCCTTCGGGTCGGAAAGAGGAAGGGGGAGAAACGGTGCAAAGGTGATCCCCTCCTCTCCCCTCCCTGAGGCTCGCTGTGCAGACACACACGTGTCAATGCAACACGGGGCGTCTACATGAGACACTTATTGCAACTTAGCCTAATAACAGCTGGGCACATCTACACCTGCGCACTTCCTGCATCGTAACCACAATTTCTGTGCAGTACAGGCACCAGTAACTTACTGAGCAGTAGGGTGGCAGTTAAAACTTGTGCTAAAAGACTAGGGGGCCGTGTTATTAGGCTAATGTGCAGTAAGCGTCACAAAATTACTGTGTGCCCATGTTGCTGTGCAGTAGCTCTAGTTACTGGGCATTTAGCTCAGTACTTCGTTAAGGAAGTACTGAACTAAATGTGCAGTAACTAAGCCCATCAATGAACATGCTGACATGCACACTGAGATTTTTCCAGAAAGGTGTCAAAATTAAGAACTTAAAAATCTCTCAGAATATTAAATTGACCACACTGCTCGGGCTTAATATTGACAGACTGTGAAATACTAGATTTAGGTGACTATGTGCCATGTGGGAAAATCTTACAGATAGAAATGTATCCTATTGTTTATTAATAATTACCTCTCCCTTTGCTCAATTGCTTTTTTTCCATCCCCTTAATAAAATCCATCCCACCTCCCCACTTTTCCTGGGGTTGGGGCTCTGGGAAAGCTGAGTTGCAACCTGGGGGAGAAGAGGGCAAGGTGGGTTCTAATTTCATTAAGAGAAAAAAGAAACCGAACAAAGGGAAAAGTAAGACAAGCCTGCTGCTTATAGAAGCTGATGTTTTGCATCTCTCATTTGGAGAGAGTCTAGTGGACTGGAGTCCAGCAAGTGATGACATAAAAATGGTTAGGGGGCTGGGGAGCCTGGCTTATGAGAAGAGACTGAGGGAACTTAATCCAGAAAAGACTGATTTAATAACAGCCTTCAGCTACCTGAAGGGAGGTTCCAAAGAGGATGGAGCTAGACTTCTCAGTGGTGACGGAGCAGAACAATGGCCTCAAGTTGCAACAAGTTAAGTTTGGGTTGGATACGACAACGAACTTTCTCACTAGAGGGTAGTAAACAGTGGAACAGGTTACCCAGAGAAGTTGTGGAAACTCCATCCTCAGTGGTTTTTAAGACCCAGGTAGACAAAGCTTTGGCTGAGATGATATAGTTGGGAATGGTCCTGCTTTGAGCATGGAGGTGGACTAGATGAGCTCCTGAGGTCCATTCCAACCCTAATTTTCTATTATTCCATGATTTAATTAGTCTGCAAGGTACAAATCTACCCTGCGTTTGCACTGAAATGGTCTCTGTCCTAGTTCTGGTTATTTTCACTGAAATGGGCAGGAGAACATATATGGTCATGAATGGTTTCCCCTAGCACAATTTCAAAAGTGGGGTCATAAAGGTTAAAGGAGAAAACCAGTATAAAATACTCTTGC